GGGAGAGAGAGAGACGGAGAAAGGAGAGGGAGAGAGAGAGGGAGAAAGGAAGGGAGAGAGAGGGTGTGAGAGAGGGAGAGAGAGAGACAGAGAGGGAAACACAGAATGAAAGAAAGGCTATTTTCAGATGACTAGATTTTCAGAAGACACTTGGGAATTTTTAAACTTCAGTGCTCTTGAGTGATAAGTAAGAGTAAGAGTATAGTTTATGGAAGAAATTGGCAAACTCTTCTAAAACCTGTAAATGTTCTTCGATCGGTACTTGAAATTTTTCTTTCCATTCAGCAGGAAGTCACAACACAGGGATTAGAGTTAAGCAGATCATGGCAAATCCCACTGTCTGCCCACGTATAAGTGCCCAGACAGTGTTTACTCATCTGCACCTTGATATCAACAAGTTGTATAAACCTAATCGTTCATTAGTCCTCTGGCAGGGTCCTTAGGAAGTGTATGTATATACAGCAGTCGCCAACAGTGCAGCTAATCTGGTCTGTTTGAGTACATAGTGGTTCGATGCTGTTTACAGTTGGGTGCTTGAAAACCTAGTATAAACATGATATACTGCAAGTCTAAACCCCTGTCTCCTACTCACTATCTACAATGCCTATAGTCTGAAATAGGATACCTAAATGCCACCTAGGGAAAAGCCATTAAGAGTCAAGTGTTCAGTGAGTGAGTTTTAATTGAGTTTATAGCAAACCGCAGGCCTTTAGCGACCAGGAGGGTCGGGCAGCTGAAATGATGGTAGGAAATCCCGGCCAGTGGGAAAGGGGAAACATGAGACCTTGGGAAGGCATACTTGGTGCTTCCCTGGAATTCGGTCGATCCGTTATCAATGTCGGCACGTAGCGTCCGCCCGTCTGATCGCATTTGGAGTCTCCAGATCTTTAATCAAATGCCAGAAGATTAGACATTTTTCTGTTAGCAGATTAAAGAGATTTGCAAAACGTCAGGATGAAAGAATTCCACCTCATGTCTTTCTAATTAGGTTTGCAGCAGATAGGTAATAGGAAAGAGACATTGGATATCCATTTGTTCTTAACCGTTTCTAAATATGTTATGCTTGATCATGATATCTACATACGGGTAACTCTGTTGCAGATAACCTCATTTGCTCCATAGAGCAATATTTGTGTGTATGCATAACCAGTAAACCACCTTTAAGGTGTACACATTCCATAAGTTAAGTAAAAGCTGTGTAAGACCTGACTGTAAGGTTTGATCCACTCATACTGGGATGGATGCCTACTGTTATTAATAATATATGTGTGATGGGTTTTTTAGCATGCTCGAAGGGTGTTGCTCTCCTTAGATAAGAGACCTCTGCTATTTGTCCTTTCTATGAGACATTCTTTGCCTTTATACTGGCAACACAAACTGGAAAATTTCAGGTGGTAGTGTTATACACCATACTGTAAATTGTGAAATATTGGAATTGATTTTATGTAGTGATGAACTGCTGACACAAACATTTGTTTTTCCATTGCATTGCTACTACAGTTGTGTTCTTTCCTCTCCCATCCAATTTAAGTCCACGCCAACTTAAAATCAGTTTACAGTAACTATCCCGCACCTGTAATTGCAGCACATACCTAAAAGCTCTACAAAGTGTCAACTATCTTAGAAATGTTGGTAATCAGGGCATGACGATAGTTACAGATGACATGTAGACATTGCTGAATAGGTTATGCTTGATCATATCAAGGACGTTATACCGTATAATTATACTGTATGCAACACATACCTAAATGCTCTACAAAGTGTCAACTATCTTAGAAATGTTGGTAATCAGGGCATGACGATAGTTACGGATGACATGCAGACATGTAGGAACTTTGCGTACATTCGTGGAGCGGTTGATCAGAAATGACTGAACCATCGAAGCCTTAAGTGTGTCACTGACTCAGGGAAAGGTTATATTGTGTCAGACTTGCTACTGTAAGTTTTGAAATGTTCACAGTGGTTTTATTTCCATAACCATACTTTCTGCCGCAAAATCATGATACAGTGAATATATGGTTCCATTGTATTACTGCTGTGACTCAAAATTGGTTTAATTTAAAAATCGCCTTTCCTCTCCAAGTCATACCACATAATTATAAAGCGCCTACAAAAATAAATGAATTTACAGTGTCATCACTTATGATCACTGCATATGAGTAGCTAGATGTATTGAGGCAGGCTGCAATTGTTCTCCATAGCTGATAGCTAGAGCATGGACTTGTAATGCCATATTGTACAGTAATCTCCAAGCAGATAATATGGTGGCAAGGCAGTATCCATTGGCCAGAGGAGTGTCCATTAGCCACCGAAGCTCCTCTGGCCAATGGATACTGCCTTGTCACCATATGATCTGCTTGGAGATTACTGTACAGTACTGCTGGCTATTTGATATGGACTATGGTGTAGTGGTTAGTGACCCCACTTCTGCAGCACAAGGCCAAGGGTTCAAATGTACCTCTAACTATTGGTTACTGCAATGGTTAGTAGACAAGCGGACTGAAGGAGCTTTCTACATGTCTGACATATCAAGGTTAGAAACACAAATTGGTCTAATTGCTTTTCCAGAGTCCTAAGAATGCCAAAGTTATTGGTTCTTGCTCGAAACGTTCTCTGGGTTGTTTTAGTTTTTGACAAACTCTCATTCTTGCTTTGGCTACTGCTACAATTTGTGCCTCTTTTTACTGTACGTAATTCAAGCCTTGTATCCTCATCACCCATAGCAAGTATGCACCAAAATTACAAGCCGGATTTTGTTTCACGAGCAACTTTAGCAGCGAAAAGCCACCCAGAAAGACACAACAAACGCTAGAACCTGTCTTCGGAAAGTGATAAAGAGAAGTTCTGTTGTCAAAATACTTGAACCATGGCCGGACCGAGCTTCATGGCTTGTTGGAACCCTTTTTGAACTTTAAGTACTCGCAGGATCGCTTTCCAACACGGAGTCTACATTACAAAAACAACAACTTCTGGGGGAGAAACCACTTCAAATTGTCTCAGTCGACTGTGTGTGTCGCAGTCTTTTATTGAGAACTTTATAAGGACTCAGACATGAAATCATGCCACAAAGATGACAACTTCCTTTTTAAACTGTCTTTGCATTTATTGGCAAATTTATCGGAGAGGGTCTTGGTTCTTATACATTTCAAAGTAAAAATCAAGCAAGAGATCAAGTTAAAGCAGAGGTATTACCCAGTACATTCCTTCACTGAAACTGTGTGAACCAAGGTATAGACTTTCCCCTCTGACTCCCTTCTCAGGTCAACATTACTGTTCTCAAATCTGTGAACCAACGGTTTAACTCAAGATGGCTTGGATATATTTTCAGATTCTTGAAAGAACAAAAATATAACATGAGAACAAAAAGTGAAACATGCTTGTTCAAAAGGACATCGTAAAACTGTACCATACATTCCAACATGACAATTGTGCCCTTGATACATCGATGAAGGATAGACATCCAGGTAATACGATACGTCAAAAAGCAGTTACTCAAGCAACTGGATATGATTTTGGAATTTTGACGTTTGTTGTGTCTTTCTGGGTGGCTTTTCACTGGTAAAGTTGCTCATGAAACAAAATTTTCCAAAATCATATCCAGTTGCTTGAGTAACTGCTTTTTGGCATAATTATGCCCTTGAACTTTGAGAAACGCCCTGGCTAATTTGTAGTGACCAGAGTTATCTGAACTTCACAAGTGGTAGATCACACTCGAAAATACTGACAGTTTTCAAAATCTATCCAGTTGCTTGAGTAACAATTCCTTCAGTACTGTACATTCCAACATGACAATGCCCTTGAACTTTGAGAAACTCCCGGCGCAAATTTGTAGTGACCAGAGTTATCTGAACTTCACAAGTGGTTGCCTGCATGGCTTAGCTCACGCCACGCTCGCTCGCTGCGACTCTCGGCCACGACTTTTCCAACATCACTCAGCCTCAAGCACCAAGACTGGATAACAACTTGTCTGGCAAGCCTGGAATTCCTCCCTGGCAAAACCCCCTGAGGGCCTGCATGGGGGCATACTGATTACGAATTACGCAAAATTTTCGCCACGGATTACGAATTAAGTTTAAGTCTCAGAGCTGATTACGACTTAACGATTTGCAGCTAATGTCCTATTACGAATAATGTTGATTTTTGCGGAGGCTGCCTATGAATTACGATGTCTAAAAAGGCCTGATTACGCCTTACGAAAAAGGGCATGCAGACCCTCCCCCTGTTCTTGGCTCCAACAAGAGCATGTAATTTGTCTCATGGGACTTCTTGAAGAGCACTTCCGAGCATCCTGGTTCCTTCATTCCTTGCCAAGACGTTTTCTTTCTCAATGCCAAGTTCGCGAACTGAGAGCCTGAGGGCGAAAGCAGACATGTAGAGCTACATGTTCAACAGACTGGGGGGTTAAATGTGCGGGATGGTACATCGATTCCGGTGGTCCAACTGTAATGTGTTATCTTTGGGAGAGTCTTCAGGCTAGAAGACTGAGTGTTGAGAGAGGGGATCGTATATAAACAGCTACTGTCTAGTCCTGGAGTCTAGGGGGCAATACTGTATAGTACCCTTTGGCATACTTGATGTGAGCCTTCTTGGAAGAGCTAGAAGAGGTGAATAATATCAAACTGATAAAAATATATTTTAAAGTTTTTATCATCCATATTGAAATAAACACAAAAGCTGGTATCGTGCATCTCCCATTGAATATTTACGCATGATAGATCATTTATATCATCTGGTGCTTTACAAATACAAGGCACCTGTATCTCCTAACAGTTAGAACTTTCAAGGAATGAGTGAAAGAGTGAAAAGGAGAAAGAGCAAAAGAGAGGAGTAAGACAAAGGATGAAAGACAGAAAGAAATACACGAATAAGAATAAAGAAAGTGATTGAAATTACACATAGTGAGTGTCATAATTTCATTGCTTTTACCTGAATTTATTTCAAGCTTTAATACAATATTTATAAGTTCATATACTCATCTTGACTCTGTATTTCCTCTACAGCCACCTGCAGCAGTGGTGTGTGCTTCAACGGTGGAAGGTGTAACGGCAACTACCGCTCCCAGCAGACTTGCACCTGCCCCAGCGGGTTCAAGGGACCCAGGTGCCAGTATGGTAAGTCCTAAACACCTGCATACATGTATGCTCATATTAATGATACAGGTGTTTGGATAGCACCTGTCATCTATTTAGGACATCATTGACATTTGCTAGCCCTTATTCAACTTGGCAATCATGACAATTGTATTGATGTTACACCTGCTCCAGTGACTTCAAAGGGCCCTGGTGTCAGTACGGTAAGTTTCAAGCATCTACAGGTGGTTATGCTAATGATAAAGTGTTGGACGGGGATAACTGTATGTAGTGGTGACTGGTCTGTATGCAGTTGATACCAATCCTGCTTTGCTTTGCTTCTGGATTAGAAGATCCAGGGTTCAAATCCAGGCAGAGTTTGGAACCCACAGTTGGCGAGGTGCATTCCTTGGTAGGAATTTTCTAGTTGTCTCTGCCAGCAAGTAGATTAGAAATTTCTCCCACACACCAGACATACTAGAACAACACCTCATATTTTACCTTTGCCCTGAATTCTTGTAAAGTTCACAAATTTTTTGGCTTGTCGACCACATTCCTTTATTCAGCTTTGCTTCTGGATCAGAAGACCGGCAATTCAAATACAGTTGGTGATGTTGTGCTTCTAGCCAGCACTTTTCTAGTAGTTTGGCTCTGCTACAGATTTGTCCAAAAAATCATTCCTACCGATAATCTCTCTTTTAGTCAGTCTTGAATGACATACTAGAACAACACCTCATATTTTACCTTTGCTCTGAATTCTTGTCAGAGTCCACAAACTTTGACAGCCACATTCCTTAAATCTGCTTTGCTTCTTAATCAGAAGACCCACAGTTGGTGAGGTTGTATTTCTAGCCAGCACTTTTCTAGTTGGCTCTGCAACAAATTTCTCTCAAAAAATCACAAATATTTTATCTTTGTCAGTCAGTCTTGAAAGACAGTAGAACAACACCCCATATTTTACCTTTGCTCCAAATTCTTGTCAAAGTTCACAAAGTTTAAGACTTGTCGACTACAGTCCTTTATTCTGAAGGTGATGGATGGAGAAACAGTCAGGGTCAAGGTTGATGCTAACCTCCAATGGCAGTCTGCCAGTAAGGAGAGTGGAGGAGGCCAATTTGGAGCAAGGCATTCTGAAGTGTTTGGGCCAAGATTGACAGAAAAAAAGCAGTTTTCCTCTTGTCTACAGCAATATGTCTGTGATTGAGCCCCTGAATGCCCCCATTCTATAAGGCATAGGCAAGCTTTGGGCACCAAATTTGCATTTTTTATGGGGTAAGGCAGCAGGGAGAAAGTTAATTTCTGATAGAGGTGGCCAAATTTTGCACAAATGTCTTCGTGAATTTTAACATAATGTGGCCCTCCTGAATTTAGTGTCAAGTGTTGATCTGCATTTCTTTGCCTGCATCCTCCCATCTATAGACTCACAATATGATGCAGCTCTTCCTATCATTGAATATAGTAGGGGCTTCTTCACTTCGATACGAATTTAGGTTGCATGTATTACTATTGGGTACATGTAACATGACCAGCGCCTACAAAGTACATGGCAAGCCGGCTGTCTTGTGTTACCATGAAAGGTGTTTCTTCCACTTGACCAACTCAGATACAGGCACAGATACAGGCACAGATACAGGCACAGATACAGCCTGCACCTGTAAACACTTCTTCTGCACTGTCAGCACAGACATAGGCGATACTGTCAATCACAGTTTTTTTGTGGTACTTGTATATTTGTGGTTTTTGTGGTCACTTCTGTACCGCAAACTTATCCTTACCGTTAAGAAATAATTCACCAACTTTCTTTTTGATGCACCTGCTGCCACTGTGAACATATAGTTCCTTGAACATATCCATTTTCCTCAGACAGTGAACTTTTGTTACCGCGAACATTAAGTTATTCACAGTACTACCAGGTGAACCCAAACACCTCCAAGACAGATGCGTTACCATAATATTGCATCCCCAATCCCTTCAACCGTATACTTTTGCCTACTGTTTCATATCTAAACACAGCCCTTTCCGGGGCCGTGTTTTCCCATAATTGTAGCCGAGATGACAGATAGGGGAGGCTTTAGTCTAGGCACAACACGCGGTGACGACCAGACAGTGCTATCGCTGGTGTCTGGTCATCTAAGCGCTCTTTCTTTTCCCCCGGGGCGACTTCTCAAGCGACCGTTTGTTTGTTGTCGGTCGTTTGAGCTGGAATCTCTTTGAAGCCGAGTCCGTCGGCTTGTTGGTGGTTTCTTCGCGACAGATAAGGAATACTCGGAGGACGGTGTTGTGTCTCTGCATTGCCATGGCAAAGGGCTGTTGCCATGGAAACGGTGCTTGTGGTTGGGTCCGACCCTGGATAAGAAGCCATTGTCTTGTATGACATTGCCGCGAAGAATGACAATCTTGATGTCTTTGTTGGTAGTAGAAGACACTACATGTACTTCTAAGGAATTTGATATTGCACAAGGTGTATTTTAGGCCAGGCCAATTCGATTCGTTGTTTCTTGGATATGGGAAAGATAATGCTGGGTTGCAAAATCAACATGGAAACTGCAGGTGTTTGCATTAGTAAGTGGTTCAAAGTTTTAGGACTGAATATGCTGACAATCAAGACACTTTTTCCCTCTTCATCTTGACCTCTTTTGCTATTGAACCAAGAAAATAAATTGTTGTGGTTTGAACTTTAATCCTTAAGTATTTCCCAGCTGTTTAAGGCTTTCAAGTACAAAACTCACGTCACAAGCGGAAGGTCTGTCCCCTTATCTTGACTTTATTGTCGGTATTTCAATGCACTGCAAAGGAATTTAACATTACCTTGCACATGGTACATATATTATCATGCTGAAATATTGTCTAGCTCACTCTTTCAAGTAAAAAGAACTATCGTCACAACTGGACAAATGACGTACACGACTTGATATAATTGTTGGTATTTCAGGGTTAAAAAAGCCAGATGATAGATATTTCAAAATGTTGTTATTTGTGTTAGGAAGTAACAACGTGGTTTACGATATTTCACGTTGATATATCTGTGCGTGACAAACGTTCAAACAACTGCCGGACGCGTTCCCGCTATCTTAAGAGACGTTTCAGAGATAGCGACCGCTTGCTTTACAGGTTTGTTTTAACTTGTCACCGGGTGAGACTACTCTCATGTTCAAGTTCGCGTAATAGATTTCAGCCTGCAGTTGTCAGCTTGTGGCCCATGGTAAACCTTCTCCTACCCAACAGTGCTTCCGAAAACCTTAATGTACAATTTTTGAAAAAAATACTGTAAAATGCATTAATACTTTAACTTTTGCCTGCTAAGGTAGCATTTTTTGGTAACGGATTGGTATGAGTTAGGTGTTAGGAAGCAGGGATGAGGTTAATTTGTTATGTGAATTGCCAGAGAACACCATGTCATTATTAGCACGGATTAATTTTAAGAAAATGGAAAAAAAGATGCATGACCTGCCAAAATTTGTACCATTTGAACCATGTCGGAACAAATTATGCTCTGAGTACATGTATGAAAATACAATTAATGGAAAAATAGGAGAGGGTGAGAAACTGCACGTACAACATACTAATGGACAGTTTATCAACATTGAACTATGCCTGCCTGTGGTGGGTCAAGCTGGGAGAATTTTTGCTGACCAACACTTGTTCGATCGATCGTAAAACAAAAATGTCATCTACACACACAACCATCCATGTGAGGTCCAAAATGCTAGCCTCTACCAGACACCGTGGATCGCTGGAAGAATGGTACAAATTTGCCGAAATAAAGGTGTGAATTCATAGAAGATCCAATTTACTATCCCTTTATTTCGGCTAATTTCTAATATTTTTCAGCAATCCGCGGTGCCTGGTAGAGGCTACCAAAATGCCGAAACTAATGACCAGAATGTTTCTCCATTATCCTCAACGTTCCTCCTATTGTCGTGTTTCCCCCCTAGATAAATCTACAAACCGGTGACCCCTGGCCCAGAGTTGATTTGTCAGAACTCGTGAAATGCCGAACATTTGTGGCATCCCTGGTGATAAGGGGGGCTATTTTCGGCGGCGTGTTTCTGTCCCACAATCGCTTGAACTGCTGCTGAGGTGAAACGTTCGAGCATGTTTGCCCTGGGTTGCTCAAGAGCTGAATGAGAGCAGGGCTCGAAATTAACAGTGCCCCGATGGCCACTGACCACTAAAATTTAGGCCGTGACAACTAAAAAGACACTTTGGGACATTTTTGGGACAATAGAAAAATAATCAACATCAGAATATCATTTAAAAAAGCCCTTCTTTGTTTATCGGGCACACCTCCTGGCTTTTGGCTCCATAAAAGATTAGTGCTGTGTACCTAAACCCACATTTAGGTTCAGGTCTGGATTCAAGTCTAGCGGTTTAGGTTCAGTTCTGGACTTGTAAGTCCGAACCTAAACCCATGGCATATACATGTACAAAATTGCATGTTGGCAACCTTGCAATGTTGCCTAGGCAAAACTGTGGCCACATAACATGGAGGCCGACACTTGACGATGCCTGATGGCAATGTTTTCTTCATTTTGCAATCTACATGTATAGATGATTTTAGGTGGTTTGGAAAGAAAAGGGATATGTGACATGTGTTTTTTCTTGTAATAAGTACAGAATCGGTTCTTGACTTATAGGTTTTTTGGGGGACTTGAACCTAAACATTTTTACAAGTCCGGAAATGGTCCAGCGAACCGGCACACAGCACTCTGTTGAGGTGAAAGGTTGGAGCATGTTTGCCCCAGGTTGCTTGAGGAGCTGAGATATTAGCCTGTTCATACTTTCCACACACAAGGAATGTGGAGAACAACTCTAAGCTCCTTTGTCTACATGTTTGTTGTACGCATCAGCCTTTCAACCTAGTTTGGACTGTTCCATTACTATCTTCAGGGGTAGCAGGGTCAGAAAGCACCTGTTCCCTTTGATTATAATTATCTGATACTTACATAAAATTTTCTTCAGATTTTGAAATAGAATCTTTATTTTGACAAAAACACAGATTTCGGCAATGTGAGCAACATTTCTGACTGATTAATAAAAAC